TAATTAGTTTTAACTAAATCATGCATATTATGTAGTACTTTTATGAATAAAGGGTGAAAAATGGTTCTAAAGATCTTTTTTGGCATAATGTCATAAATACAGGGTGAAAAACATTTAATCTAAAAAAATTAAAGTCTTACATAGTCCACTGAACAAGCTCTCTCTCCCAATCTACTGTTGGTTATCAAAATATTTATTCTAAAAAAGTAAAACAACATCAACAATCAAACATTATTCCATTAAGTGGGATAAGCTACATGAATTAACTTTGTTTTGTTTACCCATGCATTCCCTTCTTCAGTGTGTGTTTTCGAGTTCAAACATTCTGAGTAAACTGTTTGCAGCCATTACTTAACTGCAAGATATTTGAAAAATAAATCATCAAAATAATTCACAATAACATATAACTTAAATATGAATAATATCACAATACAAATTACTCTTTATGCAACTGAAAAACTAATAGTTCAAATGAAACTCTAAAGATTCAATTGAATTAAAATTATTTCATTATCTATCAAATCAATGCAAATGCAATTTTCAGAATTTATGAATTTCATAAAATATAAACTCTAATACTCAATTCCATAATTTCCGCATAAGAATTGAATCAACTTCAACTTAAAATAAAAACCCCAATCTCCAAATTGCAGACCAACGTAAACTTAAAATACAAACCCTAATCACCAAATGGATTGTTTCTATGTTAAGAATTCAAATCAACTTTAACTAAAAATACAAACCTAATACCTAATTCAATAATGAAAATTTTACCTCATACCCTTACCATTATTCCTCTACCCATACATTTGTTAAAAAAAATTCAATTCTACCATTTTCATGTATCAAATAATTTTATTATTTAATATTTATCATTTCACTCCCCTACCAAAGTGGAAAATTTTACCTCATACCCCTACCATTGTCCCTCTACCCCTACATTTTTTAAAATATTTCAATTCTACTCTTTTCACTTATCAAATAATTTTAATATTTAATATTTATCATTTCACACTCCTACCAAAGTGTATTGAATAACTTTGTCCAAAGTTTTCCGGTATGTAATTTTTTTTCACAAGATAACTTGCAATCAAGTTTTTCGATATGTATTTTTTTTCACCAAATAACTTGCAATCAATTTTTTTGATATGTAGTTTTTCTTCATCGGATAACTTGCAATCAAGTTTTTCCGATATGTATTTTTCCTTCATCAAATAACTTGCAATAAAGTTTTTCAATATGTAATTTTTATTCATCAAATAATTAGCAATCAAGTTTTCCGTTATGTAATTTTTCTTCATCGAATAACTTGGGTTTAGGCAACAATGAAAAAATTTGGCCTAAAGTAAATAAAACTGTGGTCTATTCTAATAAACATGGTTTTTGCAACTTATGAAAAATGGTATATCACATACATAAAAAACTGTTGCCTAGTATTTTAGGCAACGATTCTATTTGCTTTAGGCCACGGTTTTTCTTATTTTTCAACTTATGAAAAATTGTATATTCCTTGTATGAAAAACCGTTGCCGACAACGATTTTATTTTCCTTAGGCCACGTTTTTTTCTTTTTGCCTAAACTCAAGTTATTCGATGAAGACAAATTACAAACCTGAAAACTTGATTGCAAGTTATCCTATGAATAAAAATTACATACTGAAAAACTTGATTGCAAGTTATTTGATGAAGAAAAAATACATACTAGAAAAATTGATTGTAAGTTATCCAATGAAGAAAAATTACATATCAGAAAACTTGATTGCAAGTTATTTTGTGAAGAAAAAATGCATACCGGAAAATTTGATTGCAAGTTATTTAGTGAAGAAAAAATACATACTAGAAAATAATAAATATTAAATAATACAATTATTTGATAAGTGAAAAGAATAGAATTGGAATATTTTAAGAAATGTAGGGGTAGAGGGATAATGATAGGGGTATGAGGTAAAATTTTCTTCAATAATTTATGTATAATAACTCAAATCAACTAGATTTTGAAAAAATATAAAGATTGAGATGGATACAAACAACTACCTATGAAAGAAGACGTCAATATTCTACCGTGAATCTTGGTGAAGGAATAACACAACGAATATGAAATTTTTTTTGATACCCTTGGATGATCAACATAACTAATACGGAGTAGATGAACTTTACATCTTAAAGTTATATACTGAACAAGAAACGGATACGAAATTGAGTGAGCGAAGAGGACGAATGAGATGAATAATATATAGTTGATAATATTGAAGGATGAACTGAATCAAATAAGAATTTGGTCTGCATCATTAAAGAAAGATGGATGATCAGAAGAAGAAGATGAAGGGTTTTCAAAATTCTATTCGATCTTTTGAAATATGATTTTGGAATTTAGAAATTTAAATTAAAAATTAATTTCATTAAATAAAAATTATTTTTAATTTAATATTAATTTTATGGAAAACTGATATGTAATAAATAAAAATTTCATATAAAATGATGATTTGACCGTTTGTGTTTTGATTGGCCAAAAGCATTGATTACAACAAAAAAAAAATTATTTCAACAACTTCATCATAAAAACTCTATAGTAATTGATATTGAAAGACCCTTAATAGTATTTCAAAAGCATATTTTAGAAAGTTCATTTTATTTTAGTTTTATTTATTGAATGGAATAATATTTAGAGATATACTTTTTTTCTAATTGATCTAATAATTAAAACCTTGACACTTAAAGTATTGTCACATAGAATGTCTTAAGTAAGTTAGTGAAAGTCTCTCTTCATAACTTTTTTATGCATTGAATCATGTTTTATATTATGATGATTAGTTGAAATAAAGTTTTCGAGGTTATTATTGTTATAATTATTTTTGTATCTTTATATTATAATTATTCATAGAAATAAAGTTTTTGAAATTATTATTGTTATAATTATTTTTGTAACATTTGTAGAAATATGTAATTTAAAAGTTTTCTCACTAAATTTTTTGGTTGGATCAATTAAAAATGCCTATATTTTTTAGAGATCATAGCGTTTAACATTTTTATGCCACTCGTCTATATTAATCAAGTAAAATTTAATGATATTTTAATTAATATGATTTAATCATATTATACATCAATGACGATAATACCAAAGATCTCATTATTGATTTACGAAACAAACTAAAATAAAAAATAATAATCTCAGATTTTACTCAAATTCAGTTTTATAAGTGGTTTAATTCATAAACTGATAAAAGCATGAAATCTTATGAGGTGAGTATTTGATTTTAGAAACCATGGTTAATATGACTATGCATTGATATATACATATTTTAACTGATTATAAGTATACAACACATAAATGTTTAGATCATCGCAGAATTAAAACATGGAGAATAAAAATGTTTTTTTCCAAATTACTGATAAATCAATTATTATAAATAAATTATAATTTAAAAATCAAAATCTTTATTTGAAAGGATTAAAATTTGAGACGCATGCTATTCTAAAACAAATTAGTTTTGACATGTAATGTTTAAAGATTTCAACTATAAAAGGCAAATGGGTCCTATAAACAATTATGATAGTGGTCCATTCCCCAGCTATTGCCAAATATTAAATGTTTCAAGATATGTATGCAGCATTTTATGTTCACTCATTTCTCTTGTATTTAAGACATGTGTACACATGTACATTTTATGTTCACTCATTTCTCTTGTATTTAAGACATGTCAGGATAGAGTAGATATTTGGCTACCTAAATGATTAATGGGATCAAAGAGATTTACTAATTCGATCCTAGACAGCAGTGTTGTAAAAACCGGATCGGACCGGCCGGTCGGACTGGGAACCAGTTTAGTAACCGGTCTGGTTTACTAATTCGATCGTCTGTGTCATCAAACCGATAAAAATCGAGAAAAACAGGATTGAGCCGGGAAAAACTGGATTTAGGGTTAGACCGGTTCTAATACATTTTTTATTTTTTAATTAAAGTTTAAATGCAAAAGTTATAAAAATTTTAAAAAAATTGTTTAAAATTAGATTATGTTGCAATTATTTTGTAATTTTGTATTATTTTGTTATGTGTGATACATTTGTTTAAAATTTGAATTTAAATTATGAACTTGTGAATTTATGATATAATATTTTCAAAAAATTTAAGTACTAGTTATATTTTTTTAGAAACTGAGTCATATGGTTCGACCGGTTTTATATCTATATAATGACAGGTCTATTCAACCGAGTTATCCGGTTTAATCCGATTTATTCATGCGGTTCGATGACCGATCCAGTTTTTAAAACACTGATAAACAGTCTGTTTACATTCATTTAACTTGGTTAATACATATTATTAGTTGACTTGATTAATACATATTATTAGTTGAGTTATTTCACCAAACCTTAATTTTAATATTTTTATTTATTAAAAAATAACATCACTTAAATTTATAAGAATATATATATATATAACACCCACTTCAAGGATCTTACCTATAACCAATATAAAGAAAAACCTATTCTATCTCAACTCCAACCTCCCGTATGAACACCATAAAAAATTCAAATGATGAAAACACTCTTGTACCAGAATTCTTACAACAAGACGACATAGGCGAAGAATGCAAGGAGTTATTACCCACATTGCCATTGGTAAAAGGTTGGATTGAAAGTGACTTATATAAATATCAAGGATTTTGGTTTTTCCCAAAGGTTCTGCATGGTGTTTTATCTTGTCAAAAACACTTTCAAGCCATTGATACTGATATCCTCTTAGTAACTTTTCCCAAATCAGGTACAACATGGCTCAAAGCATTGATGTTTGCTTTGGTAAACCGCAACAAATATCCCAATATTCATGACGATCATCCTCTTCTCACTAAAAACCCTCACGATCTTGTTCCCTTTTGGGAAGTTGGCCTTTACTACGACAAAGATTTTGTTCCTGATCTCCAAACAATATCTCCTCCAAGACTTTTCTCGACTCATCTATCTTATGAATCATTGCCAAAATCTGTGCGGGATTCACGTTGTAAGGTGGTGTATCTATGTAGAGATCCTAAAGACAATTTTGTTTCATTGTGGCATTTCGCAAACAAGAATAGACCAAAAAGTAGGGAAACAGTTCCATTACAAGATGCTTTTGAGAGTTTTCGTAGAGGAGAAACTCCTTTTGGACCTTTTTGGGAGCATGTATTAGGATATTGGAAGAAAAGCTTGGAAAGTCCAAACAAGGTTATGTTTTTGAAATACGAAGAAATAAAAATGAGACCTAATTTTTATCTAAAAGAGATTGCAAAGTTTTTGGACTGCCCATTCTCCAAACAAGAAGAATCTAAAGGTCTGGATAATGATATATTAAATTTGTGTAGTTTTGACAAGTTGAGTAATTTGGAAGTCAATAAAATTGAAAAAACATCTTTTAAAGTTGAAAACAAAAGTTTTTTCCGTCTTGGTCAAGTTGGAGATTGGAAAAATCTTCTCACAACAGAAATGATTGAGCATATAAACACTATGACGGAAAAGAAATTTCTTAAACATGGGTTGAAGTTTTAGAACATGAGATATTTCAATTAATATTTATGTTGTAATGTGTTTTATTTTGTTGATGTCACTTTGGTTTTGTTTGTGGTGTGTTTACTTTGATTTTATTCTATTTTTTCTTTGTAACTTTAGCAATTTAGGAGATGCTTTGCACAAGAGATCCTTTGCTAGTCTAGTCTGCTTCTATCAATAAAATTTTATTTTATAATAAGTTTCACATTTTATTATATTTTTATTTTTTTAATTATTTAATAAATGTAGAGACATAATAAAATTTATATTCTTTATTTTATAAAAGGCTCATATATTGAAAAAGAAGATAGTATAAAAGAGTTAGCGGATTATATCAAAATTCACTCAAAAGATTATTAATATTATAAAAAAATTTATGCCTATTTTTGACAATGTCATTTTAATATTCAAGAGGCGAACCCTATATTAGTAAAAATCATATGCACAATTTTCACTCTCCTTATATATGTTAAATGGCCTAGATGCAATTAAAATAGTGCAAGATTCCCATGTGTTTCTTAGTTGTGGAGGCACTAAATTGACTTAAAAAAATTGACCACCAAGAGAGTATCAATTTCAATCTAAAACTTATAAAAATATTGATGATTAGCTACCTATGTCTCTTAAAACTGACATACTTTTATAAAAAATCAGTTCATCCAAGGAGAAGGCTCAATAAAAGCCAAAAAAACCACCTAAGCATTACACAGAGTTACATGATATTTCATAATATACAATAAATGCATACGAATGCACTTTATAGTCAATTCTATATGCATGTGGTATCACTCACTAAGTTCATGGCTTATTTTGAAAGGACATACATGCTACCTTACATACCAAAATACTCTTCCTGAAATATATAGTTTACAATGACATATGAGTTACGTTTCGTACTACAACATTTTCTGTAGAGGTATGTAGACTCTCAAATATTTATGAGTACATCTAAACTACGTACATAATACAACACTCTCTCTAAACTTTAAAGTAGGAAGACATGTGAGCTACATATACTATAACACTCTCTCTAGACGTTTGTAGACTATCAACTGTCCAGGAGTACATGTGAGCTACATTTGTACTATGACACTATCTCTAGATGCAAACCTACTGTCACTATGATATGATGCATGATGATCAGACACACGCGAATTCCTCCTAAACCTCCTTCCCTTTTTAACAAATTTACTTTGATTACCACATTAGAGGTTTCATAAAGTTTTATCATACATTCACTTTAATTTGATTGCCACATTAGAGTTTCATAATAATTTTATCAAATTTTCAACTCGATTGCTACATTAAGGCTTCACAATAACCTTACCAATCATTGGTCACATGTCATAAGGTTTTCTCACATTCATTAATTAATAACAGTATTACACATACATATAAGCATCATGATACCTTACCACAAGATAGGTCTTTGCAATAGCTTTCTAATGCATCAAACTGTGTCTCAAATGGAGTTTCTAAACTCAAAATATGACTTTTTCAATAACTCTAAAACATGTAATCGATTATACGTTTGGTGTAATCGATTACACAGTTGTTTGTTTGAGTTTTCGGCTCTCAAAGGGGTGGTAATCGATTATATTAATGTTCTTCCTGACTTTTTACAACTGTTGAACAATTTTTACAACTGCTGAAGGGGTAGTAATTAATTACACCCTAAGTGTAATTGATTACACAGTGCAAATTTTCACGTTTCACAAAACTAATCGCGTATAAACTCAATTCAACCTCAAGAAATAGTCCCGACATGAATTTACAAAACATAATACATTATGGCATAAAATAGCCATCAATTAAACACAATCCATTCATCATAACACATATTCATCGAATCAAAACATGATATAAACATTCATACAAGTAAATTAGGGGAAAATACATCAAATTATTCAAATAACCTAACTCATTGATGATATGAAATAGATTCATAACATAGGATTTATGAAAAATCATCTCGTAGGGCAATTGCCATAGGAATTAGAATGGATTTGAGGTTCAAGGAACACCTCACTATCCTAAATGCTAAAATATCAATGTTCTTGAATAATATCCCCTTACCTTTTTATTGAAGAAAATCATCCACGAAGCTCTCAATAATGGCGACAACCCTCATTTGCACAATCTATACTGTGATTTTTTTTGGTGAATTGAGGTTTTTCTCTTAGATTTTAGGAGAAGAAAAATTTCTTTGGAAAAAAAAAAGAGAATGACTAGGATTTTTATTTTTCTTTAGAGAAATATATGTTTCTCTTTTTATTTTCCGCTTTTCTAAGTTCTCTCATTTTTCTCTATTTCTCTCTATTTCCCTCCCTTTTCTTTATTTCTTTCATTCTTCTTTATTTATCTCCTTTCTTCTCTCACTCTTTTCTATTTTATAAATTAGAAATAAATTACAAATAAATAAATAAATAAATAAATAATAATAATATAAATAATAAAATCTTAAAAATGCAATAAAATTGAAATAATAACATTTTAAGTATTTTTGAGGTGTTACACGAAGCACGAAGGACGGGTGGACCATGAATTTTTTTTTTTATAATTGAAAAATATGATAGAGAGGCCTCGGTGGTTAACTTAGACTGTTTATGTGCCAAGTTAACTTGAGCCAATATCTGAGAGATGAAAATATAAAAATTAGTGGAATGATTGTTGAAGTAATACATATTCCTAACTGACCAAATCGCAAGTATTATATTGATCATGGAATACTTGATGACCAAGGAACATTAAGCAGCCATACCTTTATTACTGGAAAAACAAAAGTATTCAAGACAAAAGTACTGCAAGTTTGTGTTAATTTTGGCATTGAGTTTATGCCAAAAGTTAACAGCATAAGGGAATTCAAAACACAAGTGAAAAGTGGATCCATCATGGCCTTTACACATAATACAAATTTAGGCCATTGACCAATCCCATAATTTCAACATGTCATTTGTGAGAATATTGTTGTCCATTAGCCTCTATACCTTTAGAGATTTCAAATAAGGTATGTTCAAGGACCGAATTTATTTATCCTAATCAAGCTTAAGAGAAGAAGGAGAATTGAAGGTATAAGATTATCTAAGAGTTAAGTCACTTGAACATAAATTTCTCCAAAAGTTTTGGTCCTTGAGATAGACCGTTGTAAAGTTTATTTGAGGACCTTGTGCATTAGAAATGAAATAAAATGGGCCACTCAAAAGGAAAATGACACTGATTTACAATAATAAAATATGCCACATTAGAATTTAGGAAAATGGAATGACCTTCTAAATTAATAAGGTTAGCTTCTTGCAAAAGAGGCACCTTGCACCCAGAATCTCTCTATAAACTGATTGAAGATCCATTAATATATAACTGTTTGATTTTGCTAATCAAAAGCTCGAATTCAGGCTTATCCTACACTAGAGATATGAAAAAATCATGGTGCCAACCTTTCTTAAGACTTTATCTTTCAGATGCTTGGACCAAGGATATTCACTTTTTATCAAATCCCATACCATATCCAAAATAGAGACCTCATTTTAGCACACAAGAGATCCCACACCTAAAATACCATGAGAATGAGGCTTGCACACTTTATTCCTAGCCTTAATCACTAACTTTCTTTTGTTCACATTTCCATTCCAAATGATATTTATAGAGGCAACTTCAATGGATTTGAGTAGAGAGATAGTAGAAATTTAACTTGAAAAATATGTTGTATTCTTATTATTTTTTATGACACATGACATACATTTATATATAGACTGATGGTTTATCTTTTAGAGCTTGAAAATAGGATCAATCCTAATAAACCCTAACAAACTAATAACAATACTATAAAAAACTAATAACAATCCTAACAAGCCCTAAAAAACTAATAACAAACTATTAAATTTATCTCTAATACTCCCCCTCAAGTTTGAGGGTGAGGATTATGAACATCCAACTTGAACATGAGGTCTTGAAAAAATTTCACGTCCAATAACTTAGTAAAAATGTCAACATTTTGTTGTTTGGTGGACGGGTAAGATGGGCTTATGGTACCTGACTATATGTGTTCCTTGATAAAATGGAAGTCAATTTCCATGTGTTTTGTTCTTTCTTGCAAGATCAGGTTTGCAGCAAAATAAAGAGTTGTTTCATTGCCACAATGCTGAAGTGTGAATTTGATGCATGGAACTTGAAGATTCTCTAACAAATTAGTAGCCATAGTATTTCACTTGTGGCGTGTTTCATTATAAGATATTCAACCTCACTTGAGGTTCGAGAGACTGTTGCTTGTTTCTTTCTTTTTTTCATGACGTTGGAGCATTGCCAAGTTTAATTAGATAACCTAAGATGAACTTTATGGTAATGGGATACAATTCCCAATGTGAGTCACAATAGGCAACTAGTTATAGATTATTATATTGTATAAGAATGATACCTTAAACTGGAGAAGATTTTAGATATCGTAAGAGTCGGATAGCAACATCCCAATTTTTTTGGAGTGGAGTTTGCATGAATTGACTTAGAATATGAACCGAGTAGGTTAATTCATGCTTAGTGATAGTTAAGTAAATCAGGCGTCTAAACAATCTCCTATACCTTAACGGTTCTAAGAGTGGATGTCCCTTGACAAAAGCAAGTTTGTGATTTTGTTCAATTAGAAACAAATAAGGCTTATAAACAAGAATTCCACATTCAAAATGTCTAAGGTATGTTTTCTTTGACAAACAAATATCCCTTATGACCCTTATGCTAGTTTCAAGCCTAGGAAGTATTTAAGAAAACCAAGATCCTTCATGTAGAAATATTGACTGAAATATTGCTTGAACTTATCACAGGCCTCAAGGTCATTACTAGCAATGATCAAGTCATCAACATAGACAAAAACAAAAAGAAAAATTGATCCATGTGAATAAGTAAATAGACTATGATCAAACTAGCTGTCTTGGAAACCATATTTTATCAAAGATTGAGATAGTCGATTATACCAGGTTCTAGATGCTTGTTTCAAGCCATACAACATCTTC